CTATCAACAACTAAAAAAAATCTTTAAAAAAGTTAAACTTTATAAGGAATAAGCATAGCAGAATATGTGCATGTGTATTCCTTCAAATTGTCAAAAATTATCTTTGAATATTTTCCAATGCTGTTCATCAATGGACAAGAGAAATGGCACTCCTGTATACTGCAAGTAGTGGTCAAAATCAGCCTACTCAGTAATATCATTATAGTTAATAGGTCTAGAAAGAGGCTATCAAAACTGAAGACACTAAAATCAAAGATATAATAGGGAAAGGGAGAAGACAAAAGCAGAAATTTCCATAAAGCTATTTTTTTATTCATCTAAGTACACTCTGTTGTTTCAAGCTGCAAATAACAGATTTATTCAATAACTGTCATCAAAATTACCTTCCTAGAGACTATGTTTTGGAAACCAAATGCAGCACTACTATTAAAAAAAGAGAAAAAAAATAGATGGGACAATCCTATATGCCTAAAATCTACTAGTTAACATTTATTTTAATGAGAAAAGCATGAGGGGAATTTTTAAGACTGACTCCAAGCTAAATAAAGCACGACTTGAAATATTTGTGGTATGTAGCTACAATTACAGAGGAAAACGTTTTTATTTTATTGCAATAACAATGAATAATAAACACTGAGTAATTTTCTCTACTTCACACATTTGTTAAGGTCTTCATACAGTGTTATTTTATTATAAAATAAACTATATACTTATGGAAATAAAACATGGCTATAAAGAATAAAACACCTGAGTGAACACATTTAAAGGAAATACTGCCAAAAACTTAGGAAACCCCTGTGCAGCCCTCTTCCAATCACATCCTCCCCACATCCACTCTTTAGTTTGATCCCTTTATAGTTATTTTACTTACGTAAATATTGCTACACTGCTTAGTTTTGTCTCCTCTTACCTTTAAGTTTAATCATGTTATGCAAATTCTTGTTGAACCTATTTTGCTCAACACTGAATTTATCCATGTTGCTACAGATAGCTCTAGATCTTGTTTTTACTACAATGTCATAGAAACCACCACAGTTCTATCATTTTCCCCATTCGGGTATTGTGTGACTTTGCTAAATGTATCCACGTATTTCATGTTATTCTGTTATTGTAAACAGTATGTTTTTAAGTTTTAATTTTCTAAGCAATATTTTCTGACACATTAAAATGCAACTGATTTTTGTATACTGGATTTTGTATCTGACCAACTTAATAAATTCTTATTTCTAAAAAAATATTTTGTATATTCTTTCAAGGTTTCTATAATCAAATCATCTATGTATTATGACAGTGTTAATATTTCCCTCCCAATCCTACATCTTTTTCCTCTTTGTTGACTACTGACTGCTTCCAGAATGATAACAGAATCGGTTAAGTGGGCACCCTTCATAAGTTCCCAGTCTCATTAATGATTTAAACTCTCATCACTACAAATGTCTATTCCTTACATGTCTGAGTTTGTCAGGATGAACCAACTACTATACATAACTATAAAGATGTAGTTTTTTAAAAAAAATGATGTCTAATGGTTGTAGTAGTGTGGTCTGTAGATACTCTTAACTGGGCTAAGTAAATTGTCTTAGACTCCTCATATTTTTTTTTCTTTAATCAAGAGTGAATTTTGAATTCTACCAAATGATTTTCTACACCTATTAAGATGCTCATACAATTTTTCCTGATCTCTTAATGTTTCATAGCACTCTAGTCATAGCTCATTCAAGCCCTCTTTTATAAAAATAAACACTGGAATCAATATAGAAACTAGAAAACTGACATTTTTGTATACCTCTGATTTTCCTCCAGCTTATCCCCCACTTCTTTCACCCAAAATATTTTCTGAGTCTTGTAATGATTCCTGATACACCTCTCTATAGAAACACACACCCCTGAGGAGCACATTGCTTAGTTTAAGTTGCTCTAACTTTGAGAATTAAGTACATTTAACCTTTGGAACTTTTTTTACTCAACATTATGTGGCTGAATTTTAGCATATAGTTCAATCATTTTGATACTATACAATATTAAGAATATACATCATCCATTCTTATTCATAAGCATCAGGATTACTTCAAAGTTCTCACTCTAACAAACAATGCTGCTGTAAGTTTTTGTGCATGTCTCCTAGTATATACTTACCAGTTTCTTCTGAACCTAGATATGAAAGTGCTTGGCAGATAAGTATGTAAATGTTTTACTATTATTGCCAAAATGATTCATAAAACGGCTACAACGTACATTCCTGCCAGCCAATTTTAAGTGATACCACTGATCCATATTCTCTCTGATACTTGGTAATGCCAGGTCTCTGATTTCCTTGCCATTTAATAGATATAAAATGGTTATCATAGGTATTTATATCCTGATATTACATGTTGTGCACGTTATTTTTTTGTCTTTTCCCTGTTTGCAGCATCTTGAATCTTTTCGTTCCTAATACTGGTTCTTTGTGTTTTTTTCTTGAAACTCCAGTGAAAGGTTGGTCAGTTTTATTATTCCTTTTACCTTACTATTTCATTAATTTTTACCCATAGTTTTATAGCTGCAGTTGTCACCTTAAGTACTAGTTATTTCCTAAAAATTCTCTGTGCTGTTTCCATGATCTTCAGTTTCAAATATTTTCCATCTCTATTTTTCTGTGACCTGAGTTATTTGGAACTACATGATACTGTTCAAGTTTTTCCTTAAATTCTGATTTAGAGCTTGATTGTGTTATTCTCAGTAAATATTATCTAAATGATTCCAAACTCTTGATGTTTAACTCTTTATTATGTTTTTGAAAAGGTTCATCCTGAAGTTGTTGGGAACAGTGTTGAATGTACATGCTCATTCTGTGGTTCTTAATACATTTATCATAAAATAAGAAAAGTTAAAAACAAAGCACAATTGAGGCATATACAAGAGTACAGTAGTCCCCCCATTCCTGCAGGGGATATATTCTAACACCTTCCAATGAATGCCTGAAAGCACAGATAGTACTTAACTTTATATACTTTTTTTCCTATATGTACACATTTATAATAAATTTATAAATTAGATGCAGTAAGAGATTAACAATAGCATAATAGAACAATTATAATAATATGCTGTAAAAATTAGTTATGTGGATGTTATGTGGTCTCTCTTTTCTCAATGTATCTTATTATACTGTACTCACCCTTACTTCTTGTTGACTGAAAGTAACTGAAACCATGGAAAGCAAAACCAGAGATGGGGGTGGAGGCAATTAGTTAGCTTTTGATCCCTGTGACCAAAATACCTGACAAGAACAACTTGGGCAGGAGGAAGGGGAGTTTATTTGGAATTCATGATTTTAGAGGTCTTAGTCCACAAACAGAAAACTCTATTGCTCTAGGCTCATGGTGACCAGCCCCGCAAAGGACAGATGCTCAACTCATGGCAGGGCTGGAAGCAGAGGAGAGAGGGGAGCAGGGCCATAGGAATATGCACCCTTCCAGGACATGACCTATCTCCTCCATCCACACCCCACCTGCCCACAGTTACCAACCAGTCATTACATTCAAACTAGGATAGACTGATTAGGTAATAGCTCTCATAATGCAATCATTTTATCTCTGAATATTCCTGTATTACCAGGAGCTTTTAGGAGAAACCTCATATCCAATCCATAACATTTCACCTCCTGACTCCCAAAGCTCATGTCCAACTCACAGTGCAAAATGCATTTACTTCATCATCTCTAAGATTCCCCTGTCTTAATAGCTTAAGCATTACCCAAAAGTTCAGTCCAAGTTCAAAGTCTCCTCTGAGACTCATGGCAAAATGCTTGGCTGTGATCCCCTGTAAAAATTAAAAACAAGTTACATATACCCAATATACAGTGGCATAGAATTAACATTATCATTCCAAAAGGAAGGAACAGAGGCATAGGAAGAAGGGAAAGCAAAGCAAAATCAAAGCCCAGCCAGGCAAACAGATCCAGTAACACCATGTATAGCATCTAGGACATATGACTGAGATATTATTTCCAAAGAGCTTGGGCAGCCCCAAACTTTGGTCTTGCTGGTTGCAGTGGCCATTAGCCTGGCTCTCTCCAAAGACAGAAGCTTTTCTCAGTGGACAGTCCACACTACTGGGATTTCTTAATTTCTGCGGTCTCCATTCCAGCCCTGGCTTCACCTTCACAGTTTTTCATGCATCACCCTCTCAGGGGCTGTCTGAAGAAACCCTTGACTCTGCTAGACTTTGCCTGGTCTCCCAGGGCTTCCTCTGAAATCTCAATGGAAGCCTCGATGACCCTCTTAACACCCGCATCCTACTTTCCTGAAGAACCAGCAAGCACCATATGGATGATGTCAAGAGCTGGTGTGAGCCTGCACATTATCTAGGACTCCTGGAATCATGACTGTGGAGACCTCTGAGTGCCTGCACTGCAAACCACAATGAAACAACTTCCTAGGCCTCCCTGGGTGAGCAAGG